CGAGCCCCCAACTATGCCACCTCTCTCACAGCACGTTAAGTCACACACAGGCATCCCCAACATACCCAGCAGGGCACAGACCCATGATGGCCCAGAGAACAAAGCACGTAGACCGCAAAATTCCTCAGGGTCCCATAGGAATTCAGACCACAGTGACCTGACCAGATTCCACCTCTACCCAAAGAACAAAACAGCCCAATGGTGTTGTCTAGGAAAGGTCAGGGCCTAGAGTGAGTCAAGTGACAGTGAAATCTCACTCCCGGGAAGTTATGCAACCAACCTGCCCCACAGTATCACCCCCCTGATCACAGGCACATTCATTTCTTTCTTAATCATAGGCAGCTAAAATAAAGCTGAGCCCAGACCAGTTCTGTCTGCCAGGAACTAAAGGGATCTCAAGGACCTGAGGGCTGGGCTGAGCAGTGAAGAGCCGGAAACCTCTCCCCATCGGGCCCACCTACCTGCCACCCCACACCCTAAGTCATAGCCAGATGGACCTACTCCCAGTTCCGGAAGCTTTGCTCGTACTGTTCCACCTGAAATCCCTTTGCTCAGTCCAGATAAACCCTACCCATCTTCAATGACTGACTCCAAACACCAGCTCTTCTGGAAATCCTCGGCCAGCACTCTCTTCCTCAATGCATGCCTTCCAAGGACCTGTTACACATCTTCTGTGGGGCTTCTACCAAAAGCGAAGGAGCTGTGCCTTACTCATCTAGCTCCTGTGCCAGGAACAAGGGCTGGCATCTCTCGGGTGCTCCATTCATTCATGTATACCATGAATGAAACGTGTCAGTCAGCTCATCCACTCCTTTGCTATGACCACAGGGAAGACTGTACTATGTTAGAACTTACTTTCTGTTACATGGAACTCCATTTTCAATCCAGCCATGATAGAACCTTGGAGGGAAACTGCACTCGCCTCTTTACAATCATTCACAAAGGCAGACAAAGAATGAGAAACAGGGGTGGGGTGGGGGTGGCGTAGCAGGTAAAGCTGCCACCTGCAGTGCTGGCATCCTATGTGGGCACCGGTTTGGCTGCTCCACTTCCCATCCAGTTCTCTGCTATGGCCTGGGATAGCAGAAGATGGCCCAAGTCCTTGGGACCCTGCACCTACATGGGAGACCCAGAAGAAGCTGCTGGCTCCTGGCTTTGGATTGGCGCAACTCCATCCACTGCGGCCATCAGGGAGTGAGCCAGTGGATGGAAGACCTCCCTCTCCCTCCCCCTCTGCCTCTGCCTCTCCTTTCCCCTCTGCCTCTCCTTTTCTGTGTAATTCTGACTTTCAAGTAAATAAATAAATCTTTAAAAAAAAAAAAAAAAAAAGAATGAGAAACATGGGAAGCCTAAGGCAATGGGACCAGGGACTTACTACAGTGTGGTTAGGGGGCAAGTATCTGCTGTCCAGTTTCCCCTTGGTACTGAAGTCTGGGTTGTTTTGTTTTTTTAAATTTATTTGAGCCAGCGCCGCGGCTCACTTGGCTAATCCTCTGCCTGCAGCACCGGCACCCCGGGGTTCTAGTCCCGGTTGGGGCGCCGGATTCTGTCCTGGTTGCTTCTCTTCCAGTCCAGCTCTCTGCTGTGGCCCGGGAGGGCAGTGGAGGATGGCCCAGGTGCTTGGGCCCCTGCACTCACTTGGGAGACCAGGAGGAAGCACCTGGCTCCTGGCTTCGGATCGGTGCAGCGCCGGCCATGGCAGCCATTTGGGGGGTGAACCAACGGAAGGAAGACCTTTCTGTCTCTCTGTCTAAATCTGCCTGTCAAAAAAAAAAAAAAAATTATTTGAAAGCCAGAGGGACAGAAGCTAAAGTTTATAAAGTCTATCGCTGGGCTTCCTGCATGAATCAGAAATTTCAAGGAAAATGTTTCAAGTTATTCCTAAAATAATGAACTCCGAGCTCCAGGGAACTCATCACAGCTTAAGACCCAAATGGGCCAGAAAATGCTGAGCAACATCAGAAAATGCTGCCCACTCCAGCGTGTGCAGTCTGCAACTGTGTGCTGTTTGCTCAGCAGGGAGAGAGGAACACCATTGGTACAGACAACATCGAGTACTAAAACGACAGGGCCTGCCTGAAGGAAGACATACAACACACACAGGTCTCTGGACAGCAACGGTGCAGAACCTAAACTGATGTCCTACCAAACAGGGGAAGTGCTAGGATTAATAAAGACGCCTTCACAGAAGAGACTTGAAACCTTGACTGAGGACCAACAGGAAGTATTCCTACACAAAACATATTTTAGTTATAAGAAATTTTCACTCCAGTTTGTCATTCGAGTTAAAATATAAATTACTTGAAGAAGAATCCACATTTGTATATCTAAAGAAAGCCAGTTAAAAGAACCTAGTTTTGGACATGTGTCATAAGTAAGAAATCTGTGATAACAAGTAAGAATAAAACATTTCTGCTACATACAAAATACCACGGTTTTTTTTTTTTAAGTATTTATTTATGTATTTATTTATTTATTTGAAAGGCAGACGTCAGAAACAGGAATGGGAGGAAGAGAGTGATTCTCTCATCCACTGGTTTACTTCTGAAACAGATACAGCAGCCAAGTCTGGGTGAAGCCAAAGCCACAAGCCAGGAACTCCATCCTGGTCTCCCAGGCGGGTGGCAGGGGCCCAAGTCCTTGGGCCATCTTCTGCTGCCTTCCCAAGCACATGAGCAGGAAACTGGATCAGAAACAGAATGGCCGGGACTCAAACCAGCACTCTGATACAGGATGTGTCTGTCCCAAGCACGCTGCAATTTAATCCGCTGGGCCACAATGCCAGCTCCAGTACCATGGCGGTCTCAAGAAAAAAAACACCTATGCAGCTTTAAAACTACACTATAATCTCAGCCATATTTTTCTCATGGGACATCACTGTTACTTGAAAGAACAACTGATCAACTACGGCTATTTAAACTCATCTGTCTGACCTACATTTTCACAAAAATGAACAAAGTAAGCTTACACTTAAGAAACACAGACAGTATTTGTTGCCAATGATAAAATTCTAGCTTTTATTTGAATTTTGGAAAACAGCTTCCCAATACTTAAAGACATAAAAGATTTAAAAAGGAGGTTGGGGGTTTTCGTTTTTGCTGTTCAGTACAAGGTTTTGGAAATAGGTTCAGTTTTACAAATGTATTTTATAAGCTTTGCTTTTCACTTTTCTTTCTGGATGTCATGAATTGTTTTAAATTACAAACTAAGGGTCCACAAAAACAAAGCAGCATAAACCATGTCAATGTGACTGCCTACCAGACAATCGCCAAAATTCTTATGACATTGTATCAGTGATTGTTCTACGAAATACAGCAAGCATTCAAATAAGAAAAATGTATTAGTATTTCACATCAGTTGAATTTTAATCTATAAATAATACATTAACGCAGTGGCCAAAAGAAAAAGGGATGGCTTTCAAGTTAAAGGTAGAATTCTGATTCCCTTTGCTTAGCTTTCCGAGTAACATACTTTTAACCTGTTACTCAAAATATCAAGGAAGTAAATAAAAATTGTTATCTAAGTGCAAAAAAACCAACAACCTTTTTTTTCTTTTTTCTCCAAACCTTTCAAAATTAAACGCCTGGTAAAACAGCATCCCCCAAGGCTGTGCAACTTCTGAAGAGGCATGTGAGGAAGTAAAGACTGCTCTACAGTGAGAGTTCACTTAGAGAGCCTCCAGAACGGAACCAGAGTTTTTAAAGCCCTCTGTAGAACATCTTGGATAGCGTCAACTCCACCAAACTACAACTGTCATTCTCACCACAGGCTTCAAGGAGGTGTTCTGTGTTTTGCATACGGTTACAGGAAAATAATGTTAAACTATTCATCCTTCTTCAAACTCTACCCTTAACCTCTGTTCTAGGATCTGTCAAGGTTTCAACAATTCATGCCTTCCAGCCTCATTATCAGAGACAGATAGCCTACCTGAATCCAAAAATTTAATAAAGAAAAAAAAATCGCAGTCTTAAAAAATCAGTCCAGGTGAGGCTGGTCTCTTCCCTTCCCCCAGCAATGAAGTACAGTAATCCATGCTACCCAAGGCAGAGCCCCAAGCAATTCCATCTCAAAATGCTGTAGGTGTTCACACTGCGTAAGAGGCACTACATTTTTAGCTCAGTTTTGAAATTGGCTCAAAACACCAGTGTGTCTAACATTCAGTGTTACTAAGGAACTCAGCACTGAGCACATAAGAACCAGGAAAAAGTTTAGGAAATATGTTGTATTTTCAGACCCATTTGAAATTCCTGCTTTTCATTCCTTAGAAAAATACCACACTGGCTCTTTTTCAACAAAGGTGGGTACAAGGGTGAGGAATCACAATATTTAATAAAGAAGGTAATTCAAGCATATTATGCAAAAGTGTATTATGACAGGCCAAGATCAAACGGGTTAAAATGTTAAAACTTCCGAAGGTCTTACAAAATTGTTCTTCTAATGACTACTTTATTTCAGAAGTTATCCTAACATGTAGCAGCCCAAACAATGCAACATTGTTGGGAGAGCAACCAAGTCAGCCCCTAAAACTTCCTTAAGTGTGACACAAATGCTCATTGACCCCATTCCCAAAGAAGTGGCCCAACACAAACACGTTCTTGAACTCAATCGCATCCCCTGTTGGTGTCTCCATCCCGTGGTGCCAGCCCACGATTCGGTCTGAGGGTGTCTGAGTAAGCATCGACATTAAGCGGAAAAAGCCATCGTGAATACTCCACAGGGCGACTAGCGCATGCAGGGCCATCACACTTCACTGTGTCGTGTCCACTTCAGCGATGCTCTAAGTTACCTCAAGGTGCATTAACAAAGCCCGCACACCCGAGCCTTGCCCCCAAACAGGCTGACGCGTCGGAAATAACCTCGCAAAGCGAACGCTGTCTGCTGGTCCCCTGGTCCCCCGGTCCCCCGACCACAGCGCTCCCCAACCCCAGACGCCGCATCCCTAGCAAGCTGCGTTCGCTTCGGGGTGACCGCGGAAGGCGAGGCTGTGCCTCGGTGCTTACCAATGCCCGGAGCCACGTAGATGAAGTAGAGACAGGACGAGGAGAGGGAGAAGAAGAAGATGAAGGCGAGGAGGGAGCGATTGGAGACCCGCATCATCCGCCTGAGTACCGACATCTTCCTCTTCCCCGCCAGCAGCTCCCGCTGCGCTCTCAGGCCGGACCCGGGGCCACCGACCGGGCCCTAAACTTCCATGAACGTGCTCGGAACCCCGGGTCTATAGCGGGGTCTGCGCAGCGAGGCTCTGGGGAGAGGCCCGGGCGCCAAGGGGGAGAGGGAGGGAGCCGGCAGAATGAATGGAGGCCAGAGGGTAGGGATCGGAGAGGAGCCGGAGGACGCGGGGGAAGGGGAGGAAGGAGGAGAGGGGCCGTGGGGCTGGGGGCCTGGGGACCGGAGGCCCTCAGGAGGCCGAGGAAGGGCGCGGACGCGCGTGTGCTCCGCCAGGCAGCAGCGGGAGGAGGGGCTGCAGGTGGGGAGAGGCGCAGGCTGCGCGCCGCGGCGCCCCTGCGGAGAGGGGCGGCCAACTGCAGCACGCCCGGCTCTCCGCTCCTGGCCGGGTCCAGCTCGCCAAGCCCAGGCGCTGAGGGTCCCGCCCGCCCGCGATCGCTCCGCAGGCCCGCGCCGCCGCGTCTCGTGCCTGCGCGGGGCTAGCGTGGGCGCCGGGGCCGCAGCCGGTGCACGCGACGCGCGGGGGCCCGCGGGGGCCCTGGGGGCCAAGGAGCTGGGCGCTCGCCGGCTCGCAGCCTCCTCCTCATGCCGCGCGGGGCCCCGGCGCCCTGCGGCCGCCGCGGGAGCCAAGCGCAGGCCAGGGCGGCGTCCCGGCCCGCAGAGAGCGCGCTCCGGCTCCGGCTCCTGCGGCCTCCAGCTGCCCGCCCGGCCGCAAGGGTGGCAACGGCAGCTGCATTACCGCCGCCGGCCCGGGGTGAGGCGCCCCCGCCGGCGCCGCCCCCGCACCGCCCCCGACACCCGGCGGAGAGTGCTGCCCGCAGAGCCTTGGAGCCCGGCCGCCGTCGGAGCCGCGTCTGACTTGCACAAGGGAGCAGTCGCGAAAGGGCTGGGGAGCTGGGACCCGCGGGCGCGCCCGGAGACCCCCACGGGCTCCGCGCGCCGACTCGGAACTCGGCAGGCGGCGCTGCGCCGGGACCCGAGGAAACCTTGGGGCCCCCACCCTCCCCGCGCCCGAAACACCGAGCGTCCTGATTGGCCCGCGCCGCCCCACGCCGAGCCTCCCCCTCCCTACCTCCTGCGTCACCACCGCCGCCCCCGTCCGCTGGGGACCCCGTGCGCGCCGCGGCCGAGGGAGGCGAGCCAGGCTAGCGTCGCACTTTGGAAATGGGTCACGAAGGGTAAAGGAGAGGACTGCGATGCTGTAACTTCCGCACAAAATACTGGCTCGGGGGCACGAACCCCCCGCGCCGTCCCTTCGTATTGAAGCGGACTGCCCGGCCGCGCCGTGGGCCTGTGCATATCCGTGTGCCAGGACCTGCTTGGCCTGCGCGAGTGGACGCTGGGTCGCCCTGTCGTGGCCACGGGACCAGGCGAGGCTGACTCGGCTTCCCGCGCAGCCCTAGCTGGTTCGCTAACCAACCTCCACCTGCCAGCCCGTGGTCTGTCTCGCTTTTCTCGAGCTGCGTTAATGCCCGTCCGCCCCTGTGCCACGTTTTCCCCACGTCCGCGTGCGCGCGCAGGTGTTTCTCCTTGGGATCGTCACGCAGGCAGGGGCTGCATGCCTGCTGCCATTATTTGCTGATGATTTCCAGATTTCTACTCTCGCTTGATGGGCAGCAAAGGTAGCACCTTCTTGCCGAGATGCCCAAGCCTTAGGTCATCTCTAAGGTAGTGCTATGCAGTGTGGAGCCTTAAATAAGAGTCTGTAAGCCCAGGTCTGGTGTTGGGAGAGCCCTGGCCCTGAGACGGTGGATGCGATAACGCTTTGCATTAAATGAGGTAACTGAAATGTTAACCATGCTCCCTGGCATTTAGGAGGTTCCCCTACACTCGTGAGTTTACTGGATGCTCAACACATTCCAACTCACTTTTAATATTTTGTGGTTTTTTTGGAGCACTTAGAAGCTAGTCAAGCTTCTCTAATATATTTCATATGAAAGACAGGGATGCTGTTTTGTAATATTTTTAGATGCTTCAGGGAAATTCAAAATGCAAAGCAGAGGAGTCGACGCTGTGGCATAGCGGGTAAAGCTGCCACCTGCAGTACCAGCTGCTCCACTTTGATCCAGCTCTCTGCTATGGCCTGGGAAAGTAGTGGTCTCCCTGCATCTACGCGGGAGACCTGGAAAAAGCTACTATCTCCTGGCTTCAGATCAGCTCAGCTTCAGCCATTGCAGTCATTTGGGGAGTGAACCAGCAGATAGAGGACCCAGTTTTCTCTCTACCTCTGCTTCTCTGTAACTCTGCCTTCCAAATATATAAATAAATCTTTAAAAAATATTCTGAAAAAATGCAAGCAGATCAGCATATTAAGTAAAGGTAGATTCGCTTAAAAATATTTTGCTCTATACAAGCAAAAGAAATCCATGAGTGATAGGAAAGTAAAAATTGAGGATTTGTGTCTCTAAACCCATTGGTTTTTTCATTTTTATTTGCACCTGTTCCACTGGTTGTTAACAAAGCTAAAACCACCAGCCACGCGTCTGGAGAGAACACCATGGCTTTGCTAGACAAGTGATGAACAGTGCTTCTCAGGCAAGGTTAGTCGTTTTATAGGAAAGTTGACTATAAAACAGAGAAGGAGGTGGCCAATGCTGTGGCTTAGCAGGTAAAGGCACTACCTGCGGGACTGGTATCTCATTTGGGATCTGGTTCCAGTTCCAGCTGCTCCTCTTCCTATCCATCTCCCTGCTAATGTGCCTGGGAAAGCATTGGAAGATAACCCAAGTCCTTGGGCTCCTGCACCCATGTGGGAGACCTGGAAGAAGCTTCTGGCTCCTGGATTCGACCTGGGCCAGCCCTGGCTGGGAGCCCTTTGGGGAGCAAATCAGTGGGTGGAAGATTCTCTCTCTCTCTCTCTCTCTCTCTAACTCTGCCTTTCAAATAAGTAAACAAATTTTTAAAAAAACAACTGAGAGGGGCCAGCGCCGCAGCTCACTAGGCTAATCCTCCGCCTTGCGGCGCCGGCCATCGGGTTCTAGTCGCGGTCGGGGCGCCGGATTCTGTCCCGGTTGCCCCTCTTCCAGGCCAGCTCTCTGCTGTGGCCCGGGAGTGCAGTGGAGGATGGCCCAAGTGCTTGGGCCCTGCACCCGCATGGGAGACCAGGAGAAGCACCTGGCTCCTGGCTTCAGATCAGCGCGGTGCACTGGCCAACAGAAAAGGAAGACCTTTCTCTCTGTCTCTCTCTCTCTCTGACTGTCCACTCTGCCTGTCAAAAAAAAAAAAAAAAAAACCTGAGAGGGAAGTGTTAACAGCACAGAAATTGAGGATGAAATTTAAAATTCTGAAGCCAAGCCAGTGTACAGTAGTGCCTGGCTGGCCTTGGTGACTGCCATAGGTCTCTCCTAATTTTTGCACCATCTCTTTGGGTTTGACTTGTTTAACAAGTGCACTTAGGAATGAGCCATTCTCCCTGCAGTCAAGTGGAACTTCATCACGGTTGTCAGGATTAAATTAAACTAGTTCATGCTTCTAAAAGCATGGAAAGGCCAGTACATGGTAAGCACTCTCTGAGTTAAATTTGTTTTCAAATCTCTCCTTTCTATTACTTTCAGCAAACAGTAGCAACTGATGCTTGCTTTTGGTGTTTAAACACTGAATTTCCTAGTGAGTCACCCATTCAGTCTCTGTCTCTAGTCATCTGAGGGTTGCCTCAAGGTCTTAGCTCATTTTTAAAACAGAAACAGATTAAATACTCAGAATTCAAGAAATGCTAACCGAGCATCTTCAAGCTGTCATTTTCAACTGATATTTCCCTGGAAACCAAGTAAGCCCCATAGCAAAGGAGTGACCTTGCAGAAATCTAGTAAGCTTAATTTTTATGGTACTAAAAAGACCTTTATATTAGTCCATGTTTATTACAATAATGCAATACTCAAGACTGGGTGATGTTATAAAGGAATGGAGTTTGTTTTAGCTCGTCATTCTGGTCTAAGAGTAAGAGCCTACATCTGGTGATGGCCCTTTTGCCGCAAGAGTCCCACAGTGGCACAGGGCATCACGTGGCAAGAGACAGGGAAGTACAGCAACTGTGTCTCCTCTGGCCTCTCTCTCATCTTACAGTCACCAGGATTCAATCATAAAGGCTCTACCCTGATGACCTAACATAACCCTAATTACCTCCAAAAGGCCCTACCTTTTAATATGGTGGTTAAGATTAAGACTCTGTCCTCTTAATTCTTCACCAGTGGAATTAAATTTCAACACTCAAGCTCTTGGGGTGTGGGCAGGGAAGAGACAGTCAAACTGTATCCCAACAACCTCAACCTTAAGCCTGTTATGGTAAGACAGTGAGACAAAAGTAGATTTTATGTAATTGCTTTGTCCTAAATACCACCATTAATTATGTTGTCTACCGAAGATCCTGTGTTCAATAGTTGGATAATCAGGGACCAGCACTGTGGCCTAGTGGGTAAAACTCCCTGCTGTGCCAGCATCCCATATGTGCACTGGTTCGAGTTCCAGCTGCTTCACTTCTGATCCAGCTGTCTGCTTTGGCCTGGGAAAGCAATAGAAGATGGCTTCTGGCTCCTGGCTCCAGACTGGCGCAATTCCAGCCATTGCAGCCAATTGGGGAGTGAACCAGCAGATGGAAGACCTCTCTCTATCTCTGCCTCTCCTTCTCTCTCTGTGTAACTCTTTCAAATAAACTAAATAAAACTTTAAAAATATAGAAGGATAATCAAACTGAATAAGTCAGAACTAATGGTTTGTTACTTGTATTAATAAGTATATATTATGGTGTTTGCCATTAAAAGAGATACTTTAATCAAATAAATGTTTTAGTTGGTCTGTGTTATCTGATTAAGGATAATAATGTCCACTATTTTGGATTTGTTCACAACTTGGTAAATTAAAAAGCAATAACTTTTTTGCTTGTGAATTGGGATGGGGGAAAAGGAATGATGGACACGGCATGTAGGGAGTGGACACTTAGCCTACTGGTTAAGATGCCTGCACCTCACGTCAGAGTACCTAGGCTCAATTCCAAACTCTGGCTGCTGGCTCCAGCTTCCCGCTAGTAATGCAGACCCTCAGAGGCCAGGCTGATAACTCAAGCAACTGGCTGGCCACTCACATGGGAGACCTGGATTACATTCTCAGCTCCCAGCTTTCACCCCGGCCCTGTGGGCATTTGGTGAATGAATCAACAGATGGGAGCCCCCCCCCCATTCTGTCTGCCTTTCAAATAAATAATTTCTAAAAAAAATATCATATAGAATCTCACTTTTATGGTTGCTAAAAGTTTAGATCTCCATTACAGTTATTGATTAAATATAGTAACTTTATAAAAACATGATCTCAATATCTGAGATTCAACTAAAGAAAATTAAGTTGATGAATTGTGCTTAGAGATTTTAATTTTTTTCACTTATATAATTGAATGTAGCTTATACAAAAATTACACATTGGCATGATTCATAAAGTAGAACCTATATTCCAAATTGTGTGGTACAAAAACTTCTCTTAAATAAAGTTTTCCATTATAAATATGATTAGAATTCTCATAAAAATGGTCCCTGTTTCATATTTAAGTTATAGTAAAGAAATTTTAAAATAATTTTCTATATTTGTGAACAAACATAATTTTAAAGCAAGATTTTAATCCTCCATAGTGTATATGAAATAATACAGAACTCTGTAATATTACTTTATAATTAAAATTTAGAAAGAAACCCACTCTAGTGATAACAGTCCCTCCTTTGTCATTTTGACCCAAATTTCACACAAATCCCAAGTGCTTTAACTCTTTGATCCTCAGTCTAAGATCAGTCTTCTGCATCATCAGAATGCCCTATAAGATTTTCAAGGGGCAGGTATTTGGCACAGCAGTTATGTTGTTGTTTGGGATGCACACATCCCATATCAGAGTGCCTGCTTCAAGTCCCCATTACTCTACTTCTGATCCAGCTTCCTGCTAATGCACAACCTGGAGGCACTGGGTGATGGTTCAAGTACTTAGGTGCTTGCCACCTACATAGGAGACC